GGTGGGAGTAGAAGGATCATACCTCAACATAATAAAAGCCATTTATGACAACAGCCAGCATCATACTCAATGGGCAAAAACTAACACCATTTCCCCTAAGAACAGGAACAAGACAGGGATGCCCCCTCTCACCACTCCTGTTCAACATAGTACTGAAAGTGTTAGCCATTGCAATTAGGCAAGAAGAAGAAATAAAAGGCATCCAAATAGGAAAAGGAGGAAGTAAAACTCATTATTCACAAATGACATGATGTTGTACATAGGAACCCTTAAAGACTCCACCAAAAAACAACTAGATTTAATGAATAAATTTGGCAATGTAACAGGATACAAACTCAAAAATCAGTGGCTTTTTTATATATCAATAATGAATTCTCAGAGAGAAACTAAGCAAACAATCCCATTTACCATTGCAACAAAGAATTTAAGATACTTAGGAATAAACTTAACCAAGGAGGTAAAAGACATGTACTCAGAAAACTATAGCACGTTTTAAAAAAAAGAGATAGAAGAAGTTATAGACAAATGGAAGAATATTCCATGTTCATGGATTGGTAGAATCAACATCATTAAAATGTCCACACTATCCAAAGGAATCTACAGATTCAATGCACTCCCCATTAAAATACCAATGGCATAATTCACAGATCTAGAGCAAATACTACAGAAATTTATATAGAACCAAAAAAATCCCCAGCAATCTTGACAAAGAAGAACAAAGTTGGAGGAATCACAATACCAGATTTCAAGTTATACTACAAAGTCAACTTAATCAAAACAGCCTGTCCTGGCACAAGAACAGGCATACAGACCAATGGTACAGAACAGAGATCCCCAAAATGGACCCAAACCATTATGCTCAATTAATATTTGACAAAGGAGGCAAGAGCATACAATGGAGTCAAGACAATCTCTTTAATAAATGGTGCTGGGAAAATTGGACAGATACATGCAATAAAATGAAACTAGACCACCAACTTACACCATACACATGAATAAACTCCAAATGGATAAAAGACTTAAGTGTAAGTTGGAAAACCATAAATATCCTAGGAGAAACCATAAGCATCAAAATCTCAGAGATCTCTTAGATCAATATGTCTGCGGATACATCTGCTAGGGCAAAGGAAACTAAGGAGAACATAGACAAATGGGACCACATCAAAATAAAAAGTTTCTGCACAGCAAAAGAGACCATCAACAAAACGAAAAGGGAGCCCACTGTGTGGGAGAACATATCTGGCAATGATACATCTGGTAAACGGTTAATATTCAAAATATATAAGGAACTCATTGAACTTAAAAAAAGGATGAAAAACAATCCAATTGAAAAAATGGGCAACTTATCTAAATAGACACTTTTCCAAAGTGGACATACAGATGGCCAGTGACATATGAAAAACTGCTCAAAGTCACTGATCATCAGAGAAATGCCAATTAAAACGACTACGAGGTTTTACCTCACACCTGTCAGAATGGCTACCATCAACAAATCAACCAATATCAGGTGCTGGCGAGGATGAGGAGGAAAGGGAACCCTAGTGCACGGCTGGTGGGAATGCAGACTGGTGCAACTATTATGGAAAACTGTGGATTCTCCTCAAAAAATTAAATATGGACTGCCATTTGACCCAATGATTCCACTTGTAGGAATATATCCTAAGAAAACCAAAATCAGAAAGAATGTATGCACCCCTATGTTCATAGCAGCACAATTTACAATAGCTAAGATCTGGAAACAGTCCAAGTGCCCCTCAGTAGAGGGGTGGTGCATTTATACCATGGAATACTAGGCAGAAATTAAAAATCAACAAAACGAAAAAGAAGAATCTTTTACCCTTTGAGACAGCATGGAGGGACCTGAAGAGTATCATGCTAAGTGAAATAAACCAGTCAGAGAAAGACAAGTATCACATGGTCTCACTAATATGTGGAATCTAGGTAACAAAATAAACTGATGAACAGAGGAGATCCAAAGACTGGAATCATGGAAGAGAATGTGGAGTCTTGGAGAAAAGTTGTGGGAGGGTGGGAGCTAACCTATCAAAGACCTTGTATGCATATATGCGTGGCCCATGGACACAGACAGTGGGGCAGTGAGGTCCTGGGGCAGCAAATGGGGGCAGGCTGGATGTAGTCAATGGGTGAAAAAAGAAGACATATGTAATATTTTCAACAATAAGGAATTATTTTTTAAAAATCTGGGGTGCCCTAACCAGTTTTGCTCAGTGGATTGAGCATCAGCCTACGGACTTAAGGGTCCCAGATTTGATTCTGGTCAAGGGCATGTACATTGGTTGCAGGCACATACCCACTGGGGAGTGTGCAGGAGGCAGCTGATCGATGTTTCTCTCTCATCGATGTTTCTAACTCTCTATTCCTCTCCCTTCCTCTCTGTAAAAAAAATTAATAAAATATATTTTAAAAAATAAAAATAAATAAAAGCTGGTGTACATTTATACCATGGAATACTATGCAACAGTAAAAAAGAAGAGTCTCTCATCCTATGAGACAGCATGGAGGGACTTGGAGAGCGTGATGCTAAGTGAATTCAGCAATCAGAGAAAGACAAGTATCATATGATCTCACTCATATTTGGAATCTAATTAACAAAATAAACTGATGAAAGGAGTGGATTCAGAGACAAAGAAGCATGGAAAAAAGTGCAGAATCTTTGAAGGAAAGAGGGGAGGGTGGGAGGTTGGGAGGTAATCAAAGACCTTGTATGCATATATGCATAACCCATGGACTCAGACAGTGGGAGGGGTTGGGAAGGTCTTGAAGGGTTGATGGGGGAAATGATTACTTACAGGGAGGAAGGGAGAGGATAGAGAGTTAGAAACATCAATGAGAGAAACATCGATCAGCTGCCTCCTGCACACACACTACTGGGGATGTGCCCGCAACCAAGGTACATGCCCTTGACCGGAATCGAACCTGGGACCCTTGAGTCCGCAGGCTGACGCTCTATCCACTGAGCCAAACTGGTCAGGGCAGCAATAAAGATTTTTAAAAAATAAAATAAAAATAATTTTACAAGTCAAGACAAAACTCATACTGAAATGTGTTATAAAATATCATATTTGATATTAAAATATATTTTAAGGAAAATTGCTTTTATCTTTAATGCTGAGGTTTGGGCACCCCCCTGAGAATTTTATGCTCAGAAGCATGTCTCCCCTGCCTCACATGGCCCTGCTGTCACACTGCTGGGACTCCTGACTTTCCTAAGCTGAACATGGACAGCATTAGTGTCTCAGAGCCTGGGGCTCCAAACTGAGTTGACAGCACAAGGAGAGCAAGAGTCCCTCCTGAAGGACAAGAGGCAGCAGGGGCCCCAAGGACTCACCACGACCTTCAGGGTCTTCCTTACACCGTCGGTGATGAAGTACCGATAGACAGTGGCCTTGACCTCTACCTCCTGCAGGCCCCACCGTGAGTGTATCTGATTCCCGGTAGTTGTAGAGGACGGCTCGTATCTCTACCTGTTCGTTACGAACCACAGAGTAGGGCCACCGCAAGTCGATGAAGAAATCTTGCACCACTGTCACCTCATAGGGGTCAGCCACACAGATCCCTGCTCAGAGGAACAGAACATGAGTGTCAGGGGTAGGGGATGGGCAGGGTGGACAGGGTTCAAGTTCAGTTCCAAGTTCCTGCCTCTCAAGGCTTATCCCTGACCACAGAAGCTGTCTGGAGCTCAGCTGGTTTTAGTAGAAGCCCATAGACTAGAGAATGTTGATGGTGATGAATTACAAATGATATTGGTAGCTGGGGTTTTCCAGGATATAGTAATGTCTTTGGAATTTTACTCAGAGATGGAGGTGGAAGAGGAAAGTGAGTCAGCCTCACTGAAGGGTCCATCTGTGCTCCCCAAAATGGGAGCCCCAAGCCCCATGTGGTCACTAGGGACTGGAAAGGTGGCTAGCTCAAAAGAGCTAGATTTGTACTTTTATTTCAGTTTAGTTAACTCAGATTTAAACTTCCAAACTAGTGCTTGTGAATATACTGGAATCATATACTGTCCAAGGGTGACTTTTATGGTATGTAAATTATATTTGATTTAAAAATGCCCATGGACACTGACAATAAAGGCCTGGAAGGGAGGGCGAGGGATAGAGGAGATCAATGAGGAAAAGACAAACAAACAAACAAAGGGGACATTTGTAGTATTTTCAACAATGAAGATAAATTTTTGAAAAAATGATGTGTGGCCCTGACCAGTGTGGCTCAGTTAGTTGGGCATTGTCCTGTGCACCAAAAGGTTGTCAGTTCAATTCTGGTCAGCACACATGCCCATTTGAGGGCTTCCATCCTGGTGGGGAGCATGTGGAGACTGCCAATTGATGTTTCACTCTCACATCGCACTCTTTTCTCTCCCTCTCCTTTCCTCTCTTTCTAAAAATTGATTTTAAAAATCTTAAAAATAATAAAAATAATGCTTAATTTAGTGATTGGAAAACTTTTAAAGGTATGTTTGAGACAACTTGAATATATCAATCTGCTTTTTCACCTGCAAATTTTTTGAATCCTAAAATAGAGATCAAAGTGTTTCCAATGAAAAGCTCACATCCTGAGAACCAAGATGGCAGCATAGGTAAATGCCTGTACTTGCTGCCTCTCACAACCACATCAAAATTACAACTAAAAGACAAAATAACTATCATCCAGAACTGCAGGAAAGCTGGCTGAGTGGAAGTTCTACAACTAGAAGTAAAGAAGAAAGAGCATTGAGACTGGTAGGAGGTGCAGTGGCACACACAGAATGGGCTGGCAACCGGGTGCGCTGCTTTTCTTTAATTGGGAGAGAGACACAAGCTCCTGATTGCTTTGAACTCCAGTTTTGGGCAAGACTCTGGCGACCCAGACACATATGGGGAGAAACTGGGATGTCTGGCATTGGGCCAGAATGCGAGGGCGGCTATCTTTCAGAAGGAAGGTGCTTGCAGCGGTCATTGTTCCTGTGCTGGGACCTCTTGGGTGCAGGGCTGACTGGCAGCCATTGCTATTTGCTCTACCCTGGTGAGTCCCTGAGACCCTGCTTCACCCAATTTACAACCCCATCCAAGCTGTGTGCAATGGTTTTTGCATATGAATGGTCTATCCTTTCTCAGCCTAAAACCTGTGAAACAGGCAGCAGCTGGGGCAGGGAGCCCCAAAGCTACCAAAAGAAGGCCCAAGGTCTGGCAGCAGCAGCCTGCCTTGCTTCACAGCTAGGCCTCATCTGGGCACTTCTAAACCTGATAAAAAGAGGAGGAATCTGCAGATCTCTCTGTAGCTCCTGCTGGGCAGTCCCAAGAAGTGACTGACTTTGCACCTCCTTGGAGATCCAAGAGCCTGTGTACCCAGTGGTCAGTGTGAGACCATACCAGATTACAACTCTTCACATCCATAAGCAACACACTCAAGGGGCAGATTCAGTGAACATTCCAGGAGACATATCAGCTCTACCTAATACATAGATACAAACACAGGGAAGCAGCCAAAATGTGGAGACAAAGAAACATGTCACAAATGAAAGAAATGGAAGCAAGAAAACTACTGCATAATGAGTTCAAAACCACAGTTATAAGGTTACTCAAGGATCTTCTAAAAACCTCCGAGGAACTTAGTGAAACCTTCAATGATCTTAGTAAGAATGCCAAAAAAAAAAAAAAAAAAAAAAGGAAAAGGACCAGTCAGAAATTAAGCATACACTGACTGAAATAAAGAATAATATACAGAGATTCAACAGAAGACTAGACGATCCAAGATTCAAGTCAAAGATTTGAAATACGAGGAAGCAAAAACACCCAACTGGAATAGAAAGAAGAAAAAAGAATCCAAAATTATGAAGATAGTGTAAAAAGCTTCTGAGACAACTTCAAGCATACCAACATCCAAATTATTGAGGTGCCAAAAGAAGAGAGAGAGAGAGCAAGATATTGAAAACCTATTTGAAGAAATAATGACAGAAAACTTCCCCTACCTGGTAAAAGAAATAGGCTTACAAGTCTAAAAAGTGCAGAGAACCCCAAACAAGAGGAATCCAACGAGGACCCACACCAAGATCCATCATACTTAAAATGCTAAGGGCAAAAGACAAAGAGAAAATCTTAAAAGCAGCAAGAGAAAAACAGTTAGTTACCTACAAGGGAGTACCCACACGACTACAGCTGATTTCTCAACAGAAACTATGCAGGCCAGAAGGGAGTGGCAAGAAATATTCAAAATGATGAATAGCAAGAACCTACAACCAAGATTACTCTACCCAGCAAAGCTATCATTTAGACTTAAAGGACAGGTAAAGAGCTTCCAAGACAAGAAAAAGCTAAAGGAGTTCATCACCACCAAACCAGTATTATATGAAATGCTAAAGGGTATTCTTTAAGAAGAGGATGAAGAAGAAAAAGGTAAAGATAATAATTTATGAACAACCAATTGACAATAAATACATATCTATCAACAAGTGAATCTAAAAATCAAATGAATAAAAAATCTGATGAACAGAATGATCTGGTGAATGTAATAGAATCAGGGCCATGGAAAGGGAGCAGACTGACAATTCTTGGGGGGAAGGCAATGTGGGGGGTGAGGGAAGAGATTAGACCAGTGATGGCAAACCTTTTGAGCTCGACGTGTCAGCATTTTGAAAAACCCTAACTTAACTCTGGTGCCATGTCACATATAGAAATTTTTCGATATTTGCAACCATAGTAAAACAAAGATTTATATTTTTGATATTTATTTTATATATTTAAATGCCATTTAACAAAGAAAAATCAACCAAAAAAACCGAGTTCGTGTGTCACCTCTGACATGCATGCCATAGGTTCCCCATCACTGGATTAGACCAAAATCTTACACCTATGGACGAAGACAGTGGGGGTGCAAAGGTAAGGGGTGGAGTGGGAACCGGAGGAGGGGAGCTATGGGAGGAAAAAGAGGAAAATCTGTAATAATCTGAACAATAAAGATTAAAAATAAAAGAAAGGAAAAGCTCACATCCTAATTGAGATGCACTCTAAGTATAAAAGGCATACCAGAGTCAAAGGCTTACAATAGAAGTAAAATAAGTCATTAAAAATTTTGATATCTTTCCCGGCCAATGCTGCTCAGTGGTTGAGTATCAACACATGAACCAGGAAATCATGGTTTCATTCCAGGTCAGGGCACATGCCCAGGTTTCGGGCTCGATCTCCAGTAGGGGGCGTGCAGGAGGCAACCAATTGACGATTCTCACTGATGTGTCTAACTCTCTCTCCCTCTCCCTTTCTCTCTCTTAAATTATTAAAAACGTATTTCTTATAAGTAAGGCTTAAAAGTAAATAAGCAAAAATTTTAATATCTTAATAGTTTATGCTTAAATAGTAATGAATTTATTATTGTAACATTATTAGTGTGTTAGTGGTTTTACAAACTTTTATAAAATGTGGAAATTATAACATTTTGGATATATTTGGGTGAAATAAAATGTATTTCTGAAATCGGGTTCATCATGCTCTTTTTTTATGGGGCTACCAAAAACATAAAATAACACACTAGCCCACATTACATCTTTTCCTTCCTTCCTTCCTTTTTTTAAAGGCACTATTATAAGGGCTTTACATGTATTAACTCATAACAATCCTCTCAACAATGCTTAGAGTACATGCTATTCTATCCTGTCATTTTATAGAGGAGCACAGAGAGGCTGAGTAACTTGATTAAGGCCACACAGTGGCTCGAGCTGAGTCATACTGGAGTCCCCGGCAAAAGGAAACTATGTGTCCCTGTGTAAATGATTTCATTTGAGATCATCACTTGTTTAAGAGAAATTGCCATGGCCCTGGCCTGTGTGGCTCAGTTGGTGGAGCATTGTCCCATGCATGGCAATTCCATTCCAGGTCAGGGCACATGCCCAGATTATGAGCTCCATCCCCATAGATGTTTTTCTCTTGTGAATCTCAATCTCTCTCTCTCCCTCCTCTTTCTAAAAGCAATAAAAACATATTTTTCTTAAATAAGAGAAATTGGCAGAAAATTTTAATTCCTTCAATTAAAACGAGATAAGCAAAGAAACAGAGTTTTAAAACCTTGAAGTCAGGAAAGTAAAATGATATTAAAGTGTAATAAACAAAATGAGAATACAGCATAAGAAAGTCTGGCTCTGGTATAAATAAAATATTTACACTTAATATTGTGAGTTTTAATACCCCTGTCTTTCAATGTTTTAATATTGTTTGACACATTTTACCTTTAAAGTATACATAAAATATGCATATGGGTCACACATTTTTTTCTCTTGTCTCAAACTCCTTTGTAGTTTGTCATGGCTCTGATCTCTGTTTAAAATTTGGATATTTTTTTAATTTTTTTTTATATTTTATTGATTTTTTTACAGAGAGGAAGGGAGAGAGATAGAGAGTTAGAAACATCGATGAGAGAGAAACATCGATCAGCTGCCTTCTGCACATCTCCTACTGGGGATGTGCCTGCAACCGAGGTACATGCCCTTGACGGGAATCGAACTTGGGACCCTTCAGTCTGCAGGCCGACGCTCTATCTACTGAGCTAAACCGGTTGCGGCCAACATAGATATTTTTGGTACTCATTGTTATTTTGAAAACTATTGCAGTGGGATATTACTTACCTTGGTGACTGACTTTTTGGTATCCACTTACATTTTGCACTAAAAGTAGGGGTCTTCCTTCCCTCACCCCTCCCGGTCCTGCTGTAAACCATCCCCATTTGGCTAGAGCTCCTCAGGTCTCACTCCAGCTGTGGGTGACTGGGGACGGGTAACCTTTCTTGTCACGCTTCCCAATCTGACCACCAGTGTTTCAATCCCCCTTCATCCTGCTTCCTCCTCTTTCTTAATCACTTTACCCACTATCATGTAAATAGTACCTCCTTAAAAGTTTTTGTGGTTGCAAATTATTCTGTACGATACTACAATGGTGGACTTGTGTCATAAAATATTAGACCAAATCCATAGAATGTACAACATCAAGTGTGAATTCCTGTCATCTATGAACTTGGGGTCTTCACAATTGATTGTAACAAATGCACCACTCTGGTGGGGGATGTTGACAGTGGGGGCGGCTGTGCATGTGAGGGGGGATGGCAGAGGGTATATAGGAAATCTCTACTTTTTGCTTAATTTTTTAATAGAATATTTTTGTCTTTGTTCATCTTCACTGGAGGATATTTCCCCCCCATTGATTTTTAGAGAGAATGGAAGGGAGAGGGAGAGACAGAGAGAAACATTGTTGTGAGAGAGACACATTCATTGGTTGCCTCCAGCACAGGCCCCAATTGCCCGAAACCTGGGTATGTGCCCTGGCCAGGAGTTGAACCCCCAACCTTTTGGTGTACAGGACGATGCTCCAAACAACTGAGCCAAACTGGCCAGGCCCTTTCTACTCAATTTTGCTGTGAAACTAAAACTGCTCTAAAAATAAAATCAATTTAAAAAATAAAAAGAACTTCCCAGCCAGTGTGGCTCAGTGATTGAGCATCAACCCATACACCAAGAAGTCACTGGCTTGATTCCCTGTGAGAGCACATGCCTGGGTTTGAGCTCCATCTACAACAAAGGTCATGCAGGAGGCAGTCAGTTGATGCTGTTGTTTCTTTCTCATCAATGTTCTGTCTGTCTTTCTCCCACTCCCTTCCTCTCTCTCTAAAAAGTCTATAAGAACATATTTTAAAAAATAAAATAAAAAGCACTGACACCCACGATCTGGACTCTGATGCACCTGCCACACCCAGTAACCAGGGGGTAGAGTGTCAGTCACCAAGAAGCAGAGGAGCTTTGGGATGGATGAGAAACAGAAAATGCCTGGGGCCCTGGGGCCTGCGAAACCATCACCTCACCTTTCCTGTCAGACAAGCTCACAGCCATGATCTCCCAGGTGGTGATGGAGTCTTTCAGAAACACCTTTATGGTCTTGGAGGAGATTCTAGATGGAGGAGAAATGGGGGTCTTAGGAGAAGATGTGATGGAGGGGAGAGCAGGTAATGAGGGGCCCCAAAGGGACTAGTTGGAGGGCGTAGGTGTGGGCACGTGGAGGTTTTTCTAGGTTGGGTTGTGGAGTTCCACTATGATTCCAGAAATCAGAGGAGGTTGGGGTGCATGCAAATTAAATGTTCTGGTCCTGAGTGTTGGTAGCAAGTGCCTGGGGGTGGGTTGGAATGAGGGGTGCCCCAGCCTTACCCATCTTTCTCTGGGTCCTTTAACTCCTCGATGGTCCACAGCCAACTCTCAGGGAACTGGCTTCTGGAAACGATGTCTTCTTCCGGAATGATCTCCTCATCCAGGTCACCTGTGTAGGTGGGGGGCAAGCTGGGTTTAGAGCAGACCCACTTTCTCTTTCTTTTGCCTACGTGTGTTGGGAACCTTTGTGTCTTTTGTGGATGGAGGGGTGAAGGAGATGGGAGCTTTCCAGCTAAAAGAATTTAGAAATATGTCTCCACTTTGACAACAGCTGCCTTTGAGAGGTGACTGCTAAGCCCCGAACCCCAAGGTACACATGTACACAAAAATCACGTGTTACCACATAAGGCGTCCATCCATATCTGTTATCTTAAAAGCTAAGTGATATTGATCTTTGGGAATATCTCTCTTGACTTAAATTTTAAAAAGATTTAAAAAAAAACCCCATAAAAGGAGTAAAGAGGAACTTTTCATGGAGAAACAGGGCAGACACCACCTTAATCAAGGATCAAGGTTCACATCATCCATGATGTTACAAGGCAATGTGATAGAGGAGACCTACAACCTGATAGATCCAGTACCCGAATTAATCTGAAAAGTAATTATATTATTTTAAATCTTAGAATACATATACTTATGTGCATATGGGGTTAAGTTTCTTATATGTAAACTAGAGGACCGGTGCATGGATTTGTGCACATTGAAAGGAAATTAATTAGAAGAAATATTTTAGAGGCCAGAGAGGGACTGTGAGAGGTTGGTTCCAGACCGTGTTCAGCCCATCTCGCCCAGTCCTGATCAGTTGAACCCCAACAGCAAGCTAACCTACTGGTCGGAGCGTCTGCCCCCTGCTGGTCACTGCACATCATAGTGACCAGTTGAATGGTTGAATGGTGGGACACTTAGCATATTAGACTTTTATATATATAGATAGGGGGCTAAGTTTTTCTTAAAAGTTTTCTTTTCAAGGCCTGCTAAGCAATTGAGGATGTGACCCAGCTCTGAATCCAGCAAGCAGAACTGATAGGTATGGTCAGGCAGACTCATCAGGAGTCAAAACATCATCTCATCAACATCATCTCATTGCCTGATGACTGATTACAATAGCTGATGTCTACGGACCCCCCAGGCCTGCTCATAGCTGCATCCTGTACCCCAACCCCCTTCTAGCTATGTCCTTGAAAAACCTGTTTCCCTTGAAGGGCCATAAACGATACACAACCCCCACAAGAGATGACTGCAGACACCATCCAGGGCCTCTCAGCTCCCCCTTAATAACGTCATAGGAGGAGTGGCGCTGCAAAAGCCCGTGGAAAGCCGGGGAACTAGAAACAAAAAACTTAATGCCCTTTATAAAGAGAAAGTCCACTACAATCAGAGCTCAGCGTTGGGAACCAATTCCCCTGAGCCACAGCACCCGTGCTTCTGCAATAAAGTGCATTTTCTGACTCTTCCGAGTGCCTGGTTCTACATCTTCCTGCTGCCTGGAAATTTTGCCATAACAAATGCTACCTGCCTTCTGATCCCAGGCGAGGCACCAAGGAGGGCACAGTATCTCCTCTGGGACAGCCCCGCCCCAAATGCAAAACCTGAATGTGAGCAGGAGAAACACCAGGCAGACTCAGGTTGCTGAACAACTTTCAAATGATCTGGCCTGTGTACCTCATGTTTGTGAAGAATATGAGAGTCACAGAAAGACCGAAGAGCCGCTGGGGGTGGGGCAGATGGGAGGAGGCTAAAGAGACACAACCAGACATACCAATGTAATGTGTGATTCTGAACTGGGTCCTTTTCCTAGAGAGAACTAAAAGAATTTAAAAAGTGGCAACATTTGAATGGATTCTGTGAATTACTTGGTGGAAAGGAATCCACGTTAACGTCCTGATGCTGAGCAGTTTGCTGGGGTGTTTAGGAAAATATCTTTGCTGCCAAAACATCCTCACTAAACTATTCAGAACTCTGGGGGCATCAACAGCTCAAGCGGGGAAAGGTGTTAAACCCCACAAGTTTGTCTGTGAGTTAAAGGCTGTTTAAAGAAAAAAAGATCATTATTTTTGCATTTGTCGGCCAGCCAGCCACTGGGCAAGTTTCCCAATCTTCCTTAGGTTTTAAGCAGAAGCATTCTTTTTGTTACTTTTCATCTGTAATTGCTAACATGAAATTTCCTTCAATTTTACAAGCCGCTCACACTTGCCTTTGCTCTTGGAAGCAAATTTGATCCACACAATTTCCAGTCCCCAGTGACAGGCGCCTCCCCCTCCCACCACCAGCCCTCAGGCAGGGCCCCCAGACCACAGGACTCACTCCTGGCCAGGCCCAGGTCACTGTCCCGGCTGTGCTCCAGCCGCTGCTGGGTGATGTAGTTGCAGCAGTCCAGGAAGGCGTCCACGCAGGCCTTGTCCTGGAGGATGAACTGTGCCCTGCGCTGGCACGGGTACTTCATGGGGTTCTCCCGCATACCGTCCTCACAGCACTTGCGCAGCTCCTTGCTGGGGTACTCACCCGCTGTGGGAACACCCCCCAGTCAAGTCCCCACAGGGCCTCCCAGGGAGGACCTGCCCAGGTCCAGGCCATCCCCTCCTCCCACTTTGCTGGGATCTCAAAGGACAGGGTGTAAGGGTAGGGGAGGCGATGAGGGCTCCCACCTTTGCCCATCCTCTCCTCCATGAGCTGCACTGAGCGGCGGCGCCGGGTGGCTGGTTTCGGGCATGCCAAATCTGAGGGGCAGGTGGACGGAACAAGATGGGTTAAGCACTGACTGCCTGTCCTTGGTTTACTCCTCACAGTAGCTGCGAGGTGGGAGTGTTACTGCTCCCATTTAACAGATGTGGACACTGAGGCTCAGAGAGGAGAGTGATTTGCTAGTTGGTGGTAGAGGCAGGGCTTGAAACCAGGGTCCCGGATCCCATCTGGGAGGTCGAAGTGCTGCCCCTCCCTGGGAGTCCACTGGCCGACTCCTCACCTGACCGCTGCTCCGTCTGGAGGCCTTTGCTGGTCTGGAAGACCAGCCCGGCATCCGTAAAGACTCCCGCATAGTTCTTTCCACTGCCTGGTGTGCAGCCAATGTCTGCCTTCTCCACTGTGTCCCAGATCTGCAGGGCGGGAGGGGTCAAGGGCAGGATGAGGCCAGGCCAGCAGGGCCTGGGTCACTGCACCAACACATCCACCCAACCTCTCTACTATCCTCATCCCGAGCCCAGACACTCCACAGTGGATGATCAGAGTGTGCTGCTGTGGGACTGAGAGCTGTGCCCATTACCATGACCATCCCCAACTTAGACCCTGTCCATCCACATTTCCATCTGCAACTTGAACTTCAACACTTCCCCATGTCTCTGTCCATTTTGGCCTCTGAATTCAACCCACACTCAACCTCATGTCACTGGTTGTCCCCAGCGCCATTCTGAGTCACCCTGTTCTTCTTATTCAGTACAAACACGCCCTTGTCCACGGCTACCAGCCCCACTCGAGCCCCCTGGTTACCCTCAATCTTGAGCGATATCTGTTGTCCAGGGAGATGCTGATGCTTTTCCTCCTTCATGGCACTTTTCACCACCAGCTGTGAGGAGGAGGGAGGGGTAGGCAGGAGAAGTCAGATCAGCAGGGACCCAGCCTTGGTCGGTAGAGGACAGAAGGGGACCTGGTCTGCTCTGGAAGGAGAGAAAGGTGGAGACAGAGAGAGAAGAAAGGAGAAGTACAAAACCAGCATCAGGTAGAAAGTCAAGGAAAGAGAAAATTTGGAGCAAGAGAAATACTGAGACTAAAACAGGGAAGAAAACAAGATGGAAGAGGAGAAGAGAG